GTGTGTGTGTGTGTGTGTGTGTGTGTGTGTGTGTGTGTGTATTTTGTGATTAAATATAATTATTGTTCTCTAACCTGAATCTTCAATCAGTCATTTTCTTCTAAAAAAAAAAGGTCTGATTCATCAAGGAACTGACTCCACCATACCAGGTTGATGTTTGACAACAAGGTGACAAAATCAAATCCTTTAAGTTCTGGAAGTTGGAGAATTGGACCTCAATGAACTGAAACAATTGTTTTTGACCACTGTTCAGCAAAAACATAATTAACTACACTAAAAACAAGTGAGATTTAGAAACTGAGCTCCTCAAGCCCCACAATGAACAGTTTTTGTTTTTCTGCTCCAAAAAACAAAAAAAAATCTGAATTTTGTAAAGACTGCCTCCATGAAGCTGTACGTTTTGGCAAATAGTTTGCCTCATGTTTCTCTGTGCATCCTGGAGTCTTCCTCAGTGAAGAAGAACAACAGACCACCTTCTTCCATCACTCTGGGGTCCAGCACTGATGGGACTCATTAAAGGTCTTTTTTCTGCAGCTACAGTCTCACACACAACAAAGAGGGAAACAATGTGTGTCCTGGCAGCTTGTTTTTAAAACCAGAGCCAACTTTTCCCAACCCTGTGAGCTACAGCAGACCCCTGTTGGATGGACCAGTCCTCAGGCCTGTCCTGGTTGTCAATCTTTGGGTAAGGTGTCCACTTTAGGACCATCTTAGGTCTCAAGGAAACATCCATCAGACAAAAATATCATCAGGTGTCTGATACGAAGTCATCAGGCAGAAAAGGTTCAATAAGAGAAATGCTTTGTTAATTTTTTCTTAAGAAGCACCAATTTTAAAAGCCGAGAAACATTTGTTTTCTCATCAAATATTGTGCCATTTTACCAAAATAATCAGTGTTTTTGACTTCAACCTGCATAAATTTGAGCTGATCAGTGTCCGCTTTATTAGCTGACCATAATGAACTTACAATGCAAGAAATGTCACCAGAAAGGCAGAAAGTAAAATCTCCAGTAAAATGCTGTAAAAGTTCATCCAGGTTTAGAGTTCAGGTTGTAAATAACATGCACTACAGTGTCTGAAGACACAAATCAACAGAAGAGGAGCGCCACATTTTACCGACACAAAACCCATTCGGTCGTGAACTTGATCCTGTTTCTTTAACGTCTTCATGTCTCAACTCCTGGAACTCCTTAATGAGCTTTCAAATCATTAAGTGCAACCTGTTCACCTCAGCGGTGGCCGCACTTCAGGCACGAGGCCAAAAGGCTTTGGCTCTAGAGGGAACCAGTGTAAGTCAGGTTATCTGAGGTGAGCGTGGTTTAAACGAGGCGATGTTTACAGTAAGAGCAGCACATTCAGAGCAAATGGATCAGCTGCTGCGGTTCAGCTCACCTGGACTCGGACCTCGGGCAGGTTGACCTTCATGGCCAGCTCCTCTCGGCTGTACACGTCCGGGTAGTGGGACTTCTCGAAGGCCCGCTCCAGCTCGTGCAGCTGGTAGGTGGTGAAGGTGGTGCGGTTGCGTCGGTGCTTTTTCTTGGGCTGATCGTCTGTGCCCGGCTCTGGAGACTTGCCCTCGTCGCTGTCTTCCACGCTCTTCCTCAGCTCACCGAGCTCTTCGTCAGTCTTGTTCGCAAACAAACCGGTATCTGTTGGGGCAACGAGGACAATGAAACTGATGAATGTGGGTTGGCTTTGGGTGTTCAATATATTTTAATTCTAATCAGATTCTATCTTCTCAAACCCTACTGCTCTTTGTGATTTTTCTTTTCTTTTTTTTAATCTACTATCATTAAAAACACAAAATAAGGTGCACACAGTTCTGATCTCAGGGGTCACAACCTCCCCAGACCTTGTCATCATGACCCTGTCATCATCCCATCTTCATCAGTGGACATCATCTTCAACAAATACTATAAAACACATTAAAAAACAATAACGTGCAGCACAGTGAAGAGAGGAATGTTGCACAAATTAGGCTAAACAGCAAGTAATTTAATTAAAGAAAGTAGGAGGGAGGAAACACACACACACATGTTTGTTCTTCTATCCACATGGGGACTTTATCAGACTTCTTATCCTAACCCTGACTCTAAACATAGTCCATACCCCCTAACCCCTGACCCACAAACTGTATTTCCCCCGATGGGGACCAGACTTTTGTCCCCATAAGGAACAATGGGCTTCACCAGGCTGTGTATACCGGGAAAATGGTCAAAAGTCTTCTCCACCAGGTAACTAAAATGCACGCACGCATGCACGCACACACACACCAATCAGTACAGTTGCTCTTGTACTACATACACAGATCAGCTCAGGTTGGATCAGACACCAGTCACAGACTGAAGGATAATGAAACTTTCTAGAAAGATGTCTATGTTTAGCATGTTCACATATAGCGGAAGTAAAATTAATAAATATTCATATATTGGAAAAAAAATACTACATAACTACCAAACAGTTTGCTCAATTGTTGGACTTTTTTTTGTTTTTAGTCACATCATAAATATTACGTCACTTATTTATTTTATTACTGAGCTCAGGCAAGATACATGAGTTCATTTTTAGCAGCAGCAGCAGCAGTATCATACAAGCTAAATGTTACTAAGCTTGCTGGATGGAGCTGAGCGGTCTGAATACTACAACTAAACGTGGTTGTGGACAAATGTCTCCACCACCCCTAAAGGAAATATCTGTCTCTTAAATTTAATATTTGTCTGGTTTATTTAAAATACTGCAATAAACATGTGAAATTGTCAGGTAGCTAATCAGTAAACTGTAATTTGTGTGTGTGTGTGTGTGTGGGGGGGGGGATCTGTTGATTTTATATCAAACAAAGGCAGGAAGGAAGCTTTTGTTTATACAATAAGTTCAAAAGTCAACATTATACATATGTGGCGCCAAGTGTAAAATAAAAAGTTTAAAAAATGTCACTAACACATTTTCATTGTTTACCTCACTTTTTCAATGTAAAATTCTAGTTAAAAACAATTCCATTAACATTTTATTTTCATTCAGCTCACTGTTCTTACATTTTGCTGATTTTTACCAAATGTTCAATTTAAATGTTAAATCCTAAATCTAAATGTAAAAGTTAAATGTGAATGTGGATAAATGGGAAAGTTCTCGTTTAGGTATTTTGGAGTGGAACGCAGCCTGTGCTGTGGGTGAGCAAATGATGATGTCATCATTCTGTGACAAAAGCAAACGCTAACACTGCTAATGCTGCTAACACTGCTAACGCTGCCAATGCTACCCTACAAGACATAAAACTTACAGTTACGATCGATGTCCGAACTGCACTTCAAAATGCCGGACCACAGGTACCAAACATATTGTTTTCAATGAATACATTTTAAATTTAGATTTCAGATACAGTTGTGGCTGCCTGTAGCAGTGTTAGCGTGTGCTTTTGTCTCAGGATAATGTCAAAAGCTGATTCCAAAATTCTTAAAGGCCCTGTCACATTAGACAACTTATGCCAACTTATGAAACATTTTTATGTCTAAATTGCTAATAAAAGTTATATATTTGATCAATTTGTTAGAAATACATTATGAGCACACCAAAAAGAAGCTTCCTGTTGATTTTTTCAATTCCATCTTCAACGTAGACATCTTTAAAATGTTAATAATTTGGCATAAGTTGTCTACGTTTAAGATTTAATTTTTACATTAAGATTTAAGCATTTAGATCAGGATTTAATATTTATGAACAATATTTAACATTTAAATTTAGAAAAATTTTGCAAAATGTAAGAACAGTGAGCTAAACTACAATAAAATGTCAGTGTAAATGTTTTAACTAGGATTTTACACTCAAAGTGAGCAAAATAATGAAAATGTGTTTGTGACATTTTTTAACATTTTTTTCCACCCGGTGCCCATGAAAACATCTTCTTTTGTGTACATTATATTTGCACAACTGACTTTTTTCTAAGTCAGTGGTGCAAAGCCTTCAAATTAGTCCTCTTCGTTAATGGAAGTTATTTTTTGTTTTGTTTTTGACATTGTTTTGTTCATATTTTTGTTTCAATGTGGCTTCTTTGTTGTTATTTTACACATTGTTTTACTTTGTTGTAGTTAGATTTAAACAAAACATTTTTATTTGCCTAATATTTTTGTCCTGTTTTTTTTTATCATACTCGTCTAAAGGTAAAATCACAACAATATTAAATGAATGATATTTATATTTACTTGGTTTCGGATCAATCGCGAAATTGCTAGTATCACCCAACCCTTGTAATTTGTTGAAAGATTTGCAGACTCTGTTGATTTTATGTCAAATAAAGGCTACAAACACAGGAAGGAACATTTCAACTTTACTACAAGTTCAAAAGTCAACTTTCTACTCATCATAAAACCTGACCACATTTAAAATGTCTCTTTTTAAAACCTAAACAAAACAAAAATCTGTATCTGAATCCTGTAATCGCAGTTTGTGTTTGTTAATGGGATGTTTTTGCCAGATTTAAAAAAAGACTTCTCACTGGAGAACAAGGGAGCTGACAGATAAAAAAGCAAAGCAGGACTTAAAGTGGTTAATTTCTCCACCTCTCATTAAGGAGCAATGACAAAGGCTGGGCGCTGACAAAGGCAGAGGTCAGGTGTGGTTCAGTGACCAGCTCTTTGGCCTGCCAGCCCATCACAGCCACTGGTCTGAAGCCTCCCCGTTGTTTCACTGGTTTTCAGCCAGACGGGGGCGAGTGACAAGCAGCTCATTCAGGAGGATCTGGACTGACTTCACAGGAAAACACGGGTTTAAAGAGAGTGATGTTATTGGCGCTGAGGCACGGTAATTTACTGAAAACATCTCTGGATCCGTCTTCAGATGACGGAGCCGTAACGTCTCTCATATTTGTTTCTGTGACGGACCACCTGCCTGATCCCGAATGTGGAAAAAAAAAAAAAAAGCTTTAGATTAAACACAGACTGATGACAATAACACCCGAATGAACCACTGCACAATCTAATCTGCACTGAAGAGAAGATTAGGGGGGAATTCCACAAGGAGATGGGATTGGCCCCCACACACACATATTCTTCTATCCTCATGGAGACTTTGCATTTATTTCTGAGTGATTTCTACAGCCTAGCCCTGACCACTTACCCTAAACCTAAACTCTGTTCAGACCTTGGTTCTAAATCGAACAAACAACCCAAAACCAGCCATGGTTTGTCCCCGCAAGGTAACAAAAACACACACACACACACACACACACACACACACACACCACCAAATTGTCCTGTGATTTATCTCTCAGTTCAGTTAATGCAACAGGCTCTACATGGCAGCAGTTCACTGATTCTGAATCAGCATATGATTTTCATTTTTAAATAACATCAATAACGACGACAACAGCAACAATAATAGTAACAATAATAACAACAAAGAGCAAATTCTGAGTCCATAAAGATTTTTCTTGGACGGTGGAAAAAACGATTTGTCTGGGTCGCCCTAGAAAATGAGATCTCATTCTCAATGGGGTTTTAAGTCTGGTTAAACAAAGGAAACAATAATTTAAAAATGAAAATAATGTAACACCTGGATGACTTAGTGTTGTGTTAGTTTGTGTTTGGTTTAATTTGCATGATTTATTACATTAATCTGTGCAGTGGTCACAGCTGTTAAATCCAAGGATCTCACCTTAACTTCAACTAAAGTTCAGTCAGAGTTTTCTTTATGTACTCATTTTACTGCTCTGTAATCATTTCAGGAGGCAAAATTATGAAGCAGCTCTGGGTGAAAATTTAAGGTTTTAATATTTTTAAAAGTCTGAGTATTTTTCTATATATGTGTCTGCTGAAGTTTATTCTTGTTTACTTAAATATATGTGCATATAATAATAATAATAATAATAATAATAATTATTATTATTATTATTATATCCTAAATGCCACATAAGTCCAAGAAAATCAGCTCTTTACTAAGAAAGCATGAAAACGAGGCTGTTGTGCTGTGAAACAGCAGGGCTCCTCTCACCTTGGTACTGCTGCTGCGAGCTGCTGCTGCTCCTCCCAGAGGACAGGTGTCCGCTGAAGGACGGGTGGGACGAGGGCTCCTGCTGCTTCCCCTGCTCCGCCAGCCCGTTGATGTTCACTTTGTGGGGCCCCGGGGCCCCAGACGCGCTCAACAAGGGGTCCTGGTCTTTGCTGAAACCCAGGATGACGTCGATGCTGTGGACGCGGCCTCCAGCTGCGGCGCTCCCGCCTTTCCCCAGCTCGTGGAAGGTGCTGGGTGAGAGGCAGCTGTCGTCCACCATGCTCATGGTGTCCAGTGATAAATGCATCCGAACAGCGTCTGGGCGATCGCCCAGGCCTGAGGACAGAGGTCAGAGGTCACCTTGTCATACATGTTGGCTGGGTTTTTTTGTTTTGTTTTAGTTTTTTTTTTTTTTACACCTGAACACATACATAAAACTATTTTACATTTGGGCTTTTTTATGAATGGTTACCACTTACAGATCTGCAGCACTTACTTTAATAAATCCAATCTTTATTTCTTTATCAAACAAAAACTCTGATTTAATGGTTGTACTCCTACGTTCTGCAAAAAAAATAAGAGGCTCAAAACAGTTTTGTGAATTAAAAAAATGGTCAAACTTTGAGAACTACACATCAGCTGTTATTAAAAATATAATGACTGCAAATAAAACTATTAATGCTAATAATACTGCAAAATAGTAGGGCTATATTTGTTTCATATTAATTAATATTATTTAGTTTCTGTGAAGCAGCAGCATTTACCTCCTGGAAGCAGAACTGTTGAAGTTCCACTCGACCACCTGCTCCTCCTCAGCTCGACCTCCAGCTTTACCGTTTCCAGATCAGGTTCGTGCTCTGCCTGCAGCCTCTCCGCCCGCCCTGGTTTATACTTTGCATTCCTCGAATTAATTTCTGAGTTTGTCCCAAAACGGCTCCAAGAAAGTGGGCAACAGATAGAGAAGCGGCCGGCCCTCCCAACAAGCCGCTGAGTTTCAGCAGCTTCCAGTCAAGAGGAGAGAAAGCAGTGAGACTGAGAGGTGGACAGAGCTGAGGAGGAGGTGAAACCAGAGGATTACAGAGTTGTTGTTGAGCGCAGCCCTTCCCCTTTAGGAGTGACGGGCAGGAGGTTTCTGATCAAGTTCCTGTCATTTCTGAGTAAAACAAGAGAAAAACATGAATCTAATGGAAGTCTTTCATTTGAAAAATTTATTAAGTGAGAAAACAAATGTGTTTTCTTTGAGCATCAAGCTTTTATTTTGTGGGACTAGACCAAATAACTAAACTTGAAATAAAGTAATATATTTTTTACACTGTTTGCTACAGGTTGGTTTAAATTTAACATAAATAAATAAGTCCATAACTGGGTTTGTAAATGTAAATATTCATTCTGACAAATATCATGACTTTAGTTGGATTTAATTTTTTTTTTTAAAAACAGACAAAAATACAGCAAGTTTAAGAA